AAAATCGCTTGTGGTTGGCAGTCTCAAAGGGGGGCTCATCAAGCACGAAGTGAACAAAAAAATAAAAAAGACTATAAGTCGCATCAAGGAGGTAGAATAAATCTAAGTATTCGTTTCATAATCCGTAGAAGTTGCAACTATTTAAAGCCTGTTATCTTTACAGGTCATCGATAGCAAAATGAATGATTTCCGCAAAAAATTGAGCGGATACAGAGAAAAGATACTGCAGTCGCTTCACCTGTCGAAGGAGCAAAGAAATGAGCTTGTAGAAAGACTGAAGGTTGGCAGCTCACAGAAATTCATGTATTCATAACTGATTTTTTGAACTGTTTCAGATGTTGAAAAGAAAAACTATTGACAAAGTTCTACCGACAGGAGACACAATTGAGGAGATCAACGAAATAGCAATATTTCAGACTCACTATTCCAGGGAGATATGGTCCTTACGGAGTCCGTTTGCATGATTTCCTCATATGAGCAGTGGAAAATTTGTGTCATGTTAAGGAAGCAACAAAAACAAGTTCTCGCGGCCATTCTCGGCAACCGTTCTAAGCGGCAAGCTACGTATGAAAGCGAATATCCTGGTGCGAGGTGGTCCAAGGGAGTCAACTACTTCTTCGACGCTAGCGCGAGTCAGTGGCTGAACTCACGTTTTCCTGTTCATGTATATCACGAAGAACTAGGACTTCTTTTTAAACACTCATTCAGGCTACGTTCAGGTGCGCAGGTTCAAAGTGTGTTCAAGAAAGCTGCACACCAATGGATGTCTGATACATGTATAAACTTCATACCTACCAAATTCGGTAATGCTATGATATTGGAAGCAGTAGCAGCACTCCGCTGTACGTCCGAGTTTCAGCAGAAGACAGTATCCGAGTGGTTGCGGACAATGGATGTTGGTCCTATGTTGGTAGAATTGGTGGTGCGCAAGAACCTCTCCCTGGGTGAAGGCTGTGAAAAGGTACGGTTTCAATGAAGATCCCCCGTGAAACATGTATTTTCAGTAATGTGTTACATAAAAAACGAGACAAGCATTTATTCATTTTAATCTAGTTGCCGTCTTGTTGTACAGGTTGGAACTGCTGCTCACGAGATTGGCCACGCCCTGGGATTCTTCCACACGCACGAAAGATACGATCGTGATCCAATTTATTACAGTTGACGAACAAAATATAAAGGTAAGATGCGCAAATGGTACAATAGTCTTTGATCACAACATTGCTGGAAACTTTAGCCTGAACATCTCGACCAATTCACACGGGAAACAATCTCGACCAATAACAATTATGGTTTAACATATGACTACGGTAGCGTGATGCACTACGGAGCCACAAGGTCGAATTCTCATGAAGCGACAACTGTGAGGTATAGGAGATGAATTCAAATTTTCAGCGCTACTGTAAACAAAAAACCTACCATGGTGCCGAAGGATGTGATGTACACGGAGACTCTAGGATCCCCATTCATATCTTACTACGACCTGCTTATGATTAACACGCACTACAATTGCACAGGTAAGTAGAACCCTCGAATAATTTTTGCTGCCTCACGCTTACGTGCTCAATGTTAACACTGCTCCAGACGCATGCAAAGGTAAGAACACACCATGCCAAAATTATGGATTCGCTCATCCTCGTGATTGCTCCAAATGCATTTGCCCTAGTGGATACGGTGGACAGTTCTGTGAGAAAAGGGTAACTGCCCTTCTTACTGGTCGAAATTACAAAATTTCCCGAAAGATTTTTTCTAGCCACCCGGTTGCGGTGCAGAACTAGAAGCGACCAGGGATTGGAAACCGTTTGTGGACGTTCTAGGAGACAAGGAGTCTGGCGTCACACCGCGAGAAGATTTTATGAAATGCAACTACTGGATTAAGGTTTGCAGGTGTCAAAAAAACTCACAAGTTATCACTCTCACAATCGAAAACCAAGGCGCAGGCCGGCAAAAAGAAGTGAAATTCGTGGACTTCTCTGATGGAATTGCTATTGATGGGTGACATAAACCTAACATAATTTGAAAAAACATCTCCAGACAGGAACTGTTCGACCGGTTACAGGTATGCACACCCGATCAAGAAATCAGAATTTGTATTCATCTGAGCTAAACTAATTACCAGAACAAAACCTGAATAATGGTTCGTTTAGGTTCTTGCTCAAAAGACGACGCTAACACTGTACTCAAATCGCTTTCGAACCTTGTTCCTGTAATAACCTACAACCGACTCTTCGCTACTTTTACCAAGTTGGAGTACCGCTACGTCTAGATGAACTCTTCAAAACTTGAATGCGGTAGATTTCTCTGGAATAAACTGCTTAATTACTCGTTCCAAAAAACCTTCGTTCTAAATTGCGTGAAAGGTGAAGTGCAAGAGTATGACGACGTCTAAGACTCGTGCTGTGCCCCTCTACCTTGCAAAGCTATAGATTGTTAGAGCGACTAATTAGCTCACAATGCCGAGTGCTGCTGGATAACGTTATCGGACCCGGTTGTGGATAGATAGGGCTCTCTCGCAATCTGTTGCACATTGCAAAACATGTTCAATGCATGAAAACGAGTTAGTAGCTATATGAGAGAAAAATGAACTGGATAACGACCGGGCAGTTGAACATGGCACACCGCGGGTTCCTCATGGTAGCACACTACAGACTTAATTACTTCTTTAATGCCGGCTCATTGCCTAAATGTGTTTCCAGACACGGAGAATACATCATTATACATCTGTGAGACACCCTCAACTGAAAATTGATCTTAATATGATGTTTACAGCAAAATCTTTCAATCGCATTAGACATGAAACTTCCCTGCAATATTTTGCTAATCTTCGCTAAACTATTCGAGCAAATTCGGTGATATCTTGTCAACGAAGGTTGGCTATCCTTTCCATACAGAGGCTTGATGCAGCTCAACTTCTGTCCGTTTTCTGTTCACCACCGAAAATGTTCCCGATCTACCCTCGCCATCACTTGTTAGATCCAACGCCTTATTGCTGCCTGAATGCGCGTCAGCGCCTTTAATCAGCTCTTATCAATCGCTATCAGTTTCCGTCCCCCGCCAGACGTGTTCCTGCCCCACAATTAACATCGGAACCAATTTTTCACGGCTCTTGTGAACTGTGTTATGATTTTCGTGACGCACGCCACAAACAAATAAGCGTGGTGTTTATATAAGTGGGAATGACGAGGAGTTAACGTACCTAACGGGGAACTAAGGATACTTCGGATATGGGTAGCATACAGTAGATAAAATCCACAACTCTGTTCACTGAGTCGCTTGGCGGATAATAGAACTTCATTTGAGACCATCTACGCAAGTCGAATGCTGTGGTGTACACATAGTTGCAAACGGCCACCGGTTTGCTGGTCTATCCCGGAAAGATCGATCCTGGCCGATTGCCACGAATTGAAATTTTCATGGAAAAAGTCCAAGTAAAAAAATAAAAGAGATCCATTCGGGTGCGGATCCACGTGTCCGCGATTTTATCAACAACGTTGTGGGAGATGCTCTGTAGACGCGCCTTCAACAACGAAAAGATGTCTGAGGAGAAGTGAAAGGGGGTTGCTCAAAGAGGAGGGGGGTGGTGGAGAATGTGTAATGGTTGAAACCTATGCCTACCTTCCTCTGACACCTCTGGAGATGGAACTAGTGAAGGTTAGCTGGCTTAGGCTTCCTTCCTTACGGAATGGGATCAACCGTGCTGAAAACCATTTACATGAAGGCTTTGGAAGTAACTAAGTAAAGAAAAGGAAAGCTGATTTGGGTTATGGTACACGGATAATGACAGTACCTTGTCGAACGGATTTGAACATTCAAAACATATGCACATACATACAAGCTTACATTTGTATTAGTTTGAAACTGTTAAAACATTTATCGCGTTGGTGCTTTGGTTACAAAAGAAGCCACTACTGAGGAATCGATCTGGCGACATCTGAAGAGACGAGATAGCCCGTGACGTATCGGTGCGTTTCCTAGGGCATAGATTGCCCACTTCGAAAGATTGAGATTAGAAGTAAACTTCGTGAGAAATTCGTACCAAAAGCCTTGCCTGTTCAAAGAAAAGCATTACTCAAATACTCAGACATTTTAGGAGCTCAAAAAAGATTTTTCGGTGTTCAGTTAGAATGATAAAGCTCTTGAAAGTTTTGTGGGCCACTCACAGGTTTCCAAGGGAGCGATCGGCGCTAGTTAGTGGTGAGAGGTGAAGACGAGCCCACACGTCGTCCACGGAAGGAGTCGAGGTAAGGCTGAGATGCAGATTGTCCGAGCAAGTTAAGGCTTGTCATTCAAGGTCACTGATATCAACGGCGCGATGGAAATGAAAATTGAGCAAGGACAATAACTCGCCTAACCCGCCAACCGCGCAGCCGTTGTGATCCCCTTCACCCTCTGGAATGTAGGTTGGCCAGAGTTCCGGAAGTTCGAACTGCTCCTTCTCGCCGTACTACGCTGCTGACAAGGCCCCACTGCTCCCAAAGCGACACCAGGCGGTCTCATACGGTAGATCTACTGCACATCCCCTCTGCGCCTTTCCCACTAGTTCCTAAGGAATGTATCGTGAACGCTTCTTTTGAGTAACTGCTCATGCGTTTTGCAGGAGGAAAGGCATCCTGAAATCGGGTAGTTCCCGGGATACCGTAGTGCTTTGAAAGTTTCTTTAGGCTCTATTAGAGTGGGCTCCCTGGCGTTCTGACACCGCCTTCAACGCACTTCAACTCGAATGCAGCGAGGAGGAAGCACACCTTCCCAAGCCGTGCAGTTCAACCAGTTCCGTAGCTTCTCTCGTTTGCGAGACGACACCATAATGCTGTACAATAGGAGCGACACCCCTCTTGCGAATGCGATAAGCATCGCGACAGCGCTATGGCTACCGCTGCTGCGACTGTAAAGTGGCTGCAGCCACATCGCTTTCGTGACTGCATTTTCCCGAATCTGACGCCTTCTTCAGAGCCAGATCCGTCATTGTGGCTGTCAGTTACGGTAGACCAGACCGCTCAGCCACTGTGGTGTTGTGACTGCTTCCCAAGGCCCTTGTATAATGTCGCAAAATGTCGTCATCGAGACGACCCCGTCCTCCGACCGCCGTGTTCATTGCTCTCACTCCCACAGGATTCTTCATTTATGACACTAACTTCTCAAGTTTTTTTTCTATTTTCCAACTTCAAGGCTGAACAAAAATTGGATTAAGCTCAGATGAGTCAAATTCTACAATGTAGATAAGTCGTGGGGTAAGAACACTGAGGCAATCCCTCCGGTGAGTACAACGGCCGCTTGTGCATGATCCTCGAGACGCGCATCTTCGTTTTCTGTCTTCGTTGCTCCCTCTGGAATCGCACCCGCTTAGACCTTTGGTATAGTTTTTTCTCTTTCTTTCCAGCTATCATCCATCTCAGCACCCCCTAATTACTGAGCGCTTTTCTGCAGCAGTTTTATCCTTGCATGCCTTTTACAACAGTTGCCGTTCGGTAAAATTCACGATTGTATCCCTCATAAATCTAGCCATTCTCCGGGTTTGTATCATTTATTCTCGCTATACTATTAGTCATAGTGAAACATTTTAGGGAAAGAAGGATGTTCACACTTACTGGTATGGAATATTGAAGAAGATTGTCATCAGCAGGAAGCAAACGCTAAGAAGTAAAAAATTAATGGCCAAACGCAGTTCCCGGCTGATAACGGCAATCGCCTGAAAGATGGGATGGTCAACATGTTTCAATTATTTGAAATCTACACGTACTACATGAATAACATCGTAGAATTAAGAGATGCAATGCGCCCTACACTTGACTTTCACCCAAAGTTCTGGTGGTTGTGTAGGGAGTGTCACATGAATGCAACTCTTAACACGTTGAGGACATCGCGCGTTTTGTGCTTTTGCATCTCGTGGGACCAGGGTCAAGCGTGCGTTGAGGAATCCTCGACATGTCACAGGGGGGGGGGTCGTATTGGCCCGCTGGGGAAGAGATCGGGCCCGATTGATACAGTAGGATCATCGTCGGAGGACAAACATCAAGGATCGAGTCGATGCCAGGCCAGAGTATTTCCAATAACAATTGATTCCGCCCACACAAAATCTTCGTGATTCAGAGGTGTCCGCTTAGCAATTCTTAGTTACTTCAGTGTTTTATCACCACACAAGTTAAAGAATCCGAAATTCGCACGTTTTCCAAGGGATATTTTCTTTCAAGTGAGTCCTCAAATCTGAAGGGATGTGAAGCACACGGCGCATCCCAGAGTGGGCCCAGTTGGTTGCGCGCGCTTCAGCTACGGCTCTCTGGAGAAAGAATCTCAATTCAGGAAGAATCAAGAGGATTCTGAAAGGGTTCATGTGAAATTACAGGGAGGAGTACACTATTCAACAAGAAACGCAGCCTTCAGCGTCAAATTCACAAGCATGTAACCTTTAAAGTTGAGACCGCTAAACAATTTTACACTTTTTGGAAAGAGAAAAAGCACGAGGATTTTGAATCTGCTCCTACTTTAGTATGTAATCGCCCCTGAAAGGAGCTATAGTCGTTGAATAGTGCCAATGTAGCGAAAAAGTACCTTTCGGCGGTACTCGGGCAAAAATCCTCAACGTGGCCATTTTTTAAATAGTGGACGTATTTAGCAGTTCTAGTAACCGTTTGATAGAGCAAATCTTCTAGTTTTGTCTGACGTATTAACTTTGTGTCAGTGAAGTGTGTCACGTTCTGAAGGAAAAGTTAAAAGGGATGTACCTCTTTTCCTGACGATATGAACCCGACCGCCGTTGTCGCGGATTTAACAACAAACGCTTGATTTTGATTGGAAGGCATTTGAGTGAACTTATGTAGGGATCAATGTAGCGGAATGGCAAATAATCTTCCGATGCAAAGACAAATTTCTTATCAAAAGTACTTCTGCTACACAAACCATTTGAAAGGGCGCTTGCGCCCTATCCCACATTGTTATCGATTTTTTTATAATAGATGTTCCGACTTTTCCGCAACTCGAATAGAAAATGCTAAAGGTACAAATAGTCCCGAACAGAGCAACCTTTCTTTCATAGCGGCTGCCACTTCCCAACCAAACGCGTGGCGTGCTTGAAGGCACTTGCTGGGCTAAGCTTCACTAAGGAAGTCCACCCGTAGGTGGAGGTGCTAGGTCGGCAACTGCAGATGTTGTTGCAACTTAGCATCTCCAGCGCCTTGCCAAGGCGGTAGGCGCCTGTGATTTTGATAACGATGACAGCAGTGCACTGTACACTTCGAACACCGTGTGGGACCGCGTGCTCCGCTTGCGCTGCGCTTCGCACCCAAGAAGTTTATTTTTTCGCGCATGCGCTACTTGTTCCCCGATTTTTTGCATTTATTTCATAGATCACATCACAGCGTAACCAAAAACGGTGTGGTTGACCGAATGCTTATATATTCTTTACTTTAGCGAAGGTTTCCCAACCCCTACAAGTTCTTCACTTCTGTTATTCCTCAATGTTTATATTCTCTTGACCATAATTTCGATAAAGAGTAGTAGGTAAGTACAGACCTATACGTATAGCAAGAAATATGTGTTGAGCACGTCAAAAATAACTTCGAAGTCTGCTATAGCGGAATCAACTTAAACTTGCCGTTCAGTTGTCACAACACGGCGTTTTGATCAAACTTTGACAATTATACAGTAGCGGTCAAAAGTGTTCGCCAAAACGGTTTTCGTGCTTCTCCTTTTTTTGCCAGAAAAAATTAATGGTGACCTCGAAAATTTTTCTTTTGAACATCCTGATTCTTTGAAACTTGAGGATATAAAAACACTAGAAAACATAGTATATCAATTTTGCGAGCGAGAAAATTGATGCGCTGATAATCGTTTCGGCGAACACTTTTGACCGCTACTGTACCTTTAGTTGTCGCAATAAAGTTCTGCGTATCTACAGCTCAAAATCCACGGATTTGATGTGAGGCGGCGGTGCATGCAAAATCGCTCTGATCCCACGCGGCACAAAAACCCAAAGGGCGTTGTCGGTCGACCCATGCCCGCCCACCGTTCGATACTTTCTCCGTGTCGTATTGTTAACCAGCTCTGCTCTAAACCCGCAGTTCTTTTACCCTCTCCGCAACTTCACATCATCACCGCTGTCTGCCATTTAACCTTCTGCACAAAATGCTCCTAATCCTGGCTTCTAAAGAGGATTGCTTTGAAACCCCAACAACGTTCCACCGCTTACAGAGCTCCAACATTCTGAGCAACAGTACTGATTTTAACCCTTTCCTGTCGGCAAAGATTTGTAACGTTAACATTTTTTCATTTAAGTTGAAGGAGCTGTGCATAAGCACAGACTCCTGCATTTGAAGTTTAGGGTCAAAATCAACGGACTTCCTGAACGACCCAATACAATGAATGTGATGGGTTGCATACCCGTTACCCCTACCTATCAGATCCGTGAAGTTATCCTCAAAACATCATCTAGAATTCGTATCAAATCACCTTTTTTCCAACAGCTGGAACCGTAGACATATTATTTGTCATTTTCTTTGACGGATTGGTTCGGAGCATACAGATTTTCCAGATAATGATAGTGTCGACACAAGCCACTACAGCCACGCAGACTGCCTTAAATTCATGATGACATTTCGAACAACATAATAATGAAGAAAAAATTGTAATAACGTAAGCAACATCCCGCGGTCGAGGCAAGTAACCGCGAGGAGCTCAAAGAAGAGGTGAAAACGTAGTAAGGAAGGGCCTAACAGGGAAGGTCGTTCAGGGTGTGCCAAGCTTTTTCAAAATGGTTTCTTGCATGATATAGGGGCACATGCGGGAACCACAGAACCATGGTTCATTTTTCCTGAACGGCCCTCTGAATACCAGAAAAGGGGGTCCCTAGTTCGATTCCTCGTGGTGACAAATTTTTGCATTTCGAGTTGACGTTTCAAAATTCGCGCAAAATGGAGTTAGCATGAATACCATATTCATGATTAGGACCGTCAGTAACCTTTAAACAGTCTTTCATTAAAAACTGACGTCAGTAACCCTTACAAAGGCTTTGATTGAAAAAGGTGAAAAAGGTGTGACACCAAAACTCACCTCCGGATATTCATGATTAGGACCGTCAGTAACCTTAAAATAGACTTTGATTGAAAAACTGGTGGAAAAGTTGTGACATCACAGTGGGGCCGTTTTGGTGTCACACCTTTTTCACCAGTTTTCCAATCAAAGCCTTTTTTAAGGGTTACCGAAATATCATTACGAGGAATCGAACTAGGGACCCCCTTTTCTGGTATTCAGAGGGCCGTTCAGGAAAAATTAACCATGGTTCTGTGGTTCCCGCATGTGCCCCTATATCATGCAAAAGACCGTTTTGAAAAAGCTTGGCACACCCTGAACGACCTCCCTTGTAAGTGGTCATGGCCACAGCAGAAGATGCCACGACAGATCGAAGTGGCGACTGACTGACAAAGACTGCGGACCCTACGAGTACGCGGGGCTAACGCTAGGGAGAAGAGGAGAAGGTGTCTAACATAGAGCGAGCATTTGTTAAGTTAAAGCTCTGAAAACCCATTACGGTTAGACTTGAAAGGTTATTCATAATTTCATGAACCGCAAATAGCGCCTCTGCGGTGGTATGGGATTTGTGGCAATCAAAACTGTGCCATAACTAAAATTTGATTTTTTTTACATAGTTTCGAATGTATTTTTTCTCAATATTTGAACAACGCTATCCCCTTTTTTAATGCGGGGTAAGCATTTGAGCAGCGTGGGCAGCGTCGCTGTTATAATACCATGAAAGAAATAAAGGAGGTACGTACACACCTGTAAAACGAGGTTAAGAGTCCAGTAAATATAGGTGTAAGGTTTACTCATGTCGAAGTTCCAATAATGACCTTGTGTCACGTAGGAATAGCCGCAGTACGGCGTGAGCATTGGAGCTGAAATGCGCATAGCTCTCGTTCTTTCTGTTCAATAAGGAGCCACTGGGTCTATTCCACTTAGGGCATCATGATTTTTCCTTGGGTAACTCCGAGTCAGGGGGAGTGTACCCTAGGAAATCTAGGGGGTGGGGGTGAGGGCAGTCACTTGACATGCGTGAAAAGCTGGAATGTTCGAGTTCACACTAGTTTGCCGAGAAGCAACATCATGATGCCCCCCTAACTGGAATAAATCCGCCACTGCTCTCAGGATATAAAAGTCTGCATACCTGCAAAAAGGACTCCAATAATAACAATGGCGATGTTGATCATTTGCATGTGAATTGGCAAAAGTGTACGGAAATTCGCTGGAGAAAACACTGCGATAAAATGAAGGACCGACAGCACCAGAAGAACGAATAGCTGACCAAACCATTGGCAGCATAGTATCAGAATCGCAATGTATGTGAGCTCCTCAGCTGAAACATTCATAAATCCTGCTCTGCACTGTTCAGAGTTGAATAAGTCCACTCATAAGCCAGCTTGGAAATGCGCGCCATTGCGCATGCAAAACGCTTTTCTGGGCGACGTAGAAGACGGACGCGGACCGACAAGCCAATTGTTAGCATGACAGAATTGGTTGCATGATAAACACTATTTCAAAGGAAAATTTCACGACAAGGTCGTCGAAGACTCCCACTCTAAACCCACCCAGACTCGACGCCGGTGGTGCTCACTGCTTCAAATGCGATTGAAAGCTAGAAGCTGTTGTCCGCATCTCGCACTCCATAAAGGTGAACTAGCTTTCAAATTGAATTGCAAGAATGCACTTTGAGTCGATACACTGCGTACATACACCTTAGCTGTTGGGCGAATACTATTATACAATACAGGGGCCAAAAGTACAGAGGTTGGTGGTTAATTAGAAGGCTTTATAAATAGGTGCAGCTTGATAGCAATGAAGTGTAATATCAGCAGCAGGGAATTTCTCCTGGTCCTGATTTCTTTGACTCGTCGATGTCGAGGCCGGTGGGAGGAGGAAAAGACCGCAGTGATTTTGAAGAGATGGTGGGGTAGCTGTGTTCTTTAGCTCACGCCTAAAGCATCACCACATATTTCCATCACCTCTCTCTCCGAATGATCACATATGTGATACTTCTACTGTCCCCCAAATGAATGGCTGACTTATTGTTATACCAAAGCAATCGGAGCCAGGCGAAAATGTCCTGCTTTAGATTCTTCATCATAATTAACCGTGCTGTAGCAATAGAGTAGCTCACCTTTGAAAATGTCGGTGTCCAAGACAAAACTTGGTACATCATGAATAATAATAATCATGTAAACCGCAACATCCATAGCCATTGATAGAAAAATCGTCCATAGCACGAGTTGTTTTCGAGCTTGACCCATTTTTAGGGCGACAAATAAAATAAGTATGTCTGTCATGATGATCACAGTGGTGGTAGCAAAGTTGATCACGTACAGAACTGTATCCATCACTTTTCCTAAACAGACTGTATCTACTAACTAACTAACTGAGCATCGAAACAGAAAGCACCAAGGTGTATGGGGGATAATACGAGTGGGTCAAAGGAGACCCAGAACGTTTTGTGGCTTGCTCAAATGCGGAGCGACCTCTATTTGAACCGTTACCTCACATGATCAAATAACTATATTTCATTTTCAAGTGTTTTGATTATTCCAATAGAACACTGCTTTTGAGCGCAAAAAAACTTGGGAACGGTTCCTCTTTCAAGTTCTTAGACTGCTTTGTGATATCACTGTTTTCTCATTTCTTTGCCCTTTTCCCCACACAACGAGTCCTGAATACAAGGAGACGTTCATGGGAAATCACGAAGGGGAAGAACTCTTCCTTTCATAGCATGTAGAGCATTAAAAAGCCGCCGATATAGTCTATAGAACGAATCCTACGTGTGCAAGTAGGACATTAGGACTCCGCCCGCTATCGCGCGCATCACAGGGTAGGGAGGAACCACGGAATAGCAGCATGATGTACTCCATTAACCACCTCACTATTGAATGTGTTATACCTCCTTATACCCCTTCTCTCCGGCGCATGGCAGCGCCATGTTCTCCCTCCCTTTCTCCTCTCCCCTTCCCTCCCTCTTTCTCTCCCCTCCCTTCCAGCCTCCCCTTTCTTGCCCCCTTCCCTCTACCCCTCTTCCACCCCCTCCCCCTCCCCTCATCCGGCTGCCACGGCAGCACCATGTAGAATGAGACTGAGTGTGCTCGATCGGTGTTTATATAGCCGCTGTGGGTGTTATCATGATCATGACATCAACATCACGAAGTGTTGCCCTTCGTACTCCCTGGTTTTGAGCGGTCGGTCCGGACGGACAGAACGACACACGCACACACACACACCGACAAACCGACACACCAAAGTTCTGGTTTATATAATGAAGTGATTGCTTCTTTCAAATATCTTGAACGATACCTGACCTCTATTCAGCCAAAAACCTTTGCTCGCAGTCCCATGCCAAGCATGGGCTTGTTCTCACCGAGTGAACAAGAACTGTCTATGTATGTAGAGCAGATCAGCCAGATCGCTTCATTCACACAATAAGCGGACTTGGCGTGGTAAGACATGGCGTGATTAGCACGCGATTTCGATGTCAGGGATCGCATCCACGTTAGGTCAGGCTAAACAAACCTTCAGTCTCGCTTGGCTCTGTGAGTTACTAGAACATACAGTAGTGGCCAGAAATTTATGAACAAACGGTTTTTTCATGATTTCTCTTTTGAAAGTCACTGGAACGTCTCCAAATTTGCAACAATTATTAACTACGTGTTTTATGATCCACACAGAAAATTTCAACCTTCAGCTCAAATTTGGGTTTAGAAAATTTTAGATTTTTCGAAATTAATGAAGGCAGGTGAAAGATCACTTGATCCGTTTATTTGATTTAAATAATGTATAACCCAACAGAACAGTCAAGTAAACAGTCACTAACATTAAGCAAGTCTAGCACATTGCCCAGAACTCTCTAAAGTATTGGATACATAAACTGGATTTGAATGCGGGGTCAACTAATGAACTCACTCTCTAGTGGGGTCTCTCTCTGTAGTCCCGTCTTTTCGTGGCTCTTTCATTGACATACGAATTTGTAGGTCCTCCCCTAGTGGTTCTGTAATGTTTGGCTCAAGAGTCTGGCCTGGCTGGTCTTTTAAAAGCACCCCATGCTGTCGAAACCACTCCTGCATGTGAGAGGCCCGATGCTTTGAGTCGCTGCTCTGCCGACAGGCAAAGTCAGGTCGGGCGGCAGCCAAGCCTACGGATACATGACACCTTCCAAAACATGACAGCAAACGTCTGCCTTCATCGCTACCTCAGTCGTGTAGCGTGGTCCCACTTTTTTCCAAGGCAACCTTATCAAGCCTCCGCCAAGTTTCACAATTGGCAGCTGATTCTTTGGATCAAAACGTTCCCTCTCGTGGTGCCGTACATTACTAGTATCCTTGCTGTCATGCATCAGTAATATGTTTTTGTCATTCCAGATGACCTTAGAAACCTGTGTCAACCTTCTTTTCAGGCTTAGTCAATCACATTCTACTCCCACCCACTTCACAGCGAGCGCTCTTCTTAGACTTTGAGAACTAAGGAATACGTAGTATAGACTTAGATTCTAGAAGATGTTATGTATCCGTAGACATGGCTGCCACACGACCTGGCTTTGTCTGTCAGCAGAGCAGCGACTCAAAGCATCGGCCTCTCACATGCAGGAGTGGTTTCGACAGCATGGGGTGCTTTTAAAAGACCAGCCAGGCCAGACTCTTGAGCCAAACATTACAGAACCACTAGGGGAGGACCTACAAATTCGTATGTCAATGAAAGAGCCACGAAAAGACGGGACTACAGAGAGAGACCCCACTAGAGAGTGAGTTCATTAGTTGACCCCGCATTCAAATCCAGTTTATGTATCCAATACTTTAGAGAGTTCTGGGCAATGTGCTAGACTTGCTTAATGTTAGTGACTGTTTACTTGACTGTTCTGTTGGGTTATACATTATTTAAATCAAATAAACGGATCAAGTGATCTTTCACCTGCCTTCATTAATTTCGAAAAATCTAAAATTTTCTAAACCCAAATTTGAGCTGAAGGTTGAAATTTTCTATACCCTTATTAACGTTCGCGATGCTGTGGATCATAAAACACGTATACGTAGTTAATAATTGTTGCAAATTTGGAGACGTTCCAGTGACTTTCAAAAGAGAAATCATGAAAAAACCGTTTGTTCATAAATTTCTGGCCACTACTGTATGCGGGGGAAGAAAACACTATCGCGGCTGCCCCTTGCAAGCACGGTTACTTATATGGGCCGGCTCACATTCAAGATTCCCGTCTGATTGGAAAGAATTCGTGGCGCATACTCAAGGATGATACGTCAACACAAAATGGCTTATCATTGGTCAGTTCCCTGTGCAAGCTATCTATTCTTTCCTCGGCGGAGAATTCTATCCACTCGAGTCGTTTTAGATGAGCTCATCTGCTCATTCCAAGGTACCCTTCGCTCAGATATGTATTACTCCAACCAGTTGAGTATCCTAGCAGAAGACGACAAGAAACTGTTCATTAAGCCATCTCTCCTTCCGGCCTTTAGGCCCTTTAGTTAAGTAGAAAAAGGTGAGACGAGCAGGTCCATCGGAAATTATTCGAATCATCGACCATACTTATCCCCTTATAAACAGTTGTTATGTTTAGAAAAAGAATTGTTACAGAACCCCAACACAAAAAAAGTTCCATAGCAATGAAAATTCACCTTGCGTGAGTAACTATTAGAGTTATGCATGTATGGGCGTGTGCTAGCGAACCAATTACTACAAAAGGTGGTTTTTCATTCGCAAACAATAACTGAACAGTGGTGATGAGCCAAGCGAAAATTCAGGTTTGGTGAGAGTAACCACAGGTCGTGATTATGTTTCAACTTGAAAATCTGCAAAGCAAAATAAAATGCGCTGCACATTCATTTTCTGAATATTCTCCTTGCATTCGTCTCCCACTCAACATCGTTGTGACATCTGATGCTATCCCTTCGGCCTGTTACGGGTATGAAGACTGCTGTTTACTGGAGTTCGTGTCATCCTGTGCAGCACTAGGTCCAGTTGGTAGGCTCCGTTTATGCACTTGATGACCCCTGTAAGGATAAGTGATTCATTCAGCGTAACTTCTAGATGCTATAAGCTCGCGCAGGTGATAGGTGGATTACAAGCCCAGAGCTGCTACTATGTATGCGGTAAACTATTGAAGCGGTCCATAATTCCGGGGTCACCTTCTATCTAGGCCATGGAACTTCCCAGAGAGGTCTTACGTTGGAGGCTTCAAGCATGACCGCTCTATAGCATCCACTTTTGCCAGTATGAAGTTATTGGAATCATCGACCATACTTATCTCCTCATAAACAGTTGTTATGTCTAAAAAGAATTGTCACAGTACCCCAACACAGATAAAGTTCCATAGCAATGAAAATTCACCTTGCGTGAGTAACTATTAGAGTTATGCATGTATGGGCGTGTGCCAGCGAACCAATTACTACAAAAGGTGGTTTTTCATTCGCAAACAATAACTGAACAGTGGTGATGAGCCAAGCGAAAATTCAGGTTTGGTGAGAGTAACCACAGGTCGTGATTATGTTTCAACTTGAAAATCTGCAAAGCAAAATAAAATGCGCTGCACATTCATTTTCTGATATTCTCCTTGCATTCGTCTCCCACTCAACATCGTTGTGACATCTGATGCTATCCCTTCGGCCTGTTACGGGTATGAAGACTGCTGTTTACTGGAGTTCGTGTCATTCTGTGCAGCACTAGGTCCAGTTGGTAGCCAGGGTCAACCGTCACGTTCGAACATTTTCGGGATTTTTGCGACCCCCTAGCTCTCGAGGGGGTCCAGTTGCGACCCCCTGTTTTGTTAATAAGAGTGCTAGACATGAATCCGTTGCGCCAGAAAGCGTCTGCGCGTCGTCGCGTCGGCCTTGGAGCGCGGCAGGTATCACCCGGGCGCTGGAAGAACGGGACGCGGCGAAGAAAAAATTTTTAGAGGGGAATAACTTTCTTGGGACGTATTTTTTGACTTGTTGAGGTAGATTTTGATTGTGCCTGAGGTGCGCTTCCAGAAAACTACAAGGATTGCCTAACTCTCCGGAAAGTACTTCTGTTAGAAGTGGAAAACCCAAAATTCTAAGAAGGCGCACCTTCAACTTTGAAGGCCCATAAAATCTTTCGTATGCGACATTTTGGAAATCTGTAAAAAGTTTCAGAAACTTCAAATATTTCTCTAACAAAACAGTATAAAAAGTTTAGTGATTGTCCCCTTTTTAAAATTGTCCCGTTCGAACATTTTTCGTGCAAAAGCGAGTTTTTGGGCTTTCAGCGACCATAACTCACTTCATTTTCATTTCTGTGATGCACTTTTTTTTCATGGGGTGAAAGTACAGGATTTGCTCTTTCTAACGAGCACCAAACCGTTTTTCAAAGT